GCTGCTGCTGCTGCTGCACGCGACAGCGTCAACTGAGCTTTCGGAGCATCCTCCAGAGCCTCTTCCTCCACCCAACACCACTTCCGTTCGGCCCGGCGTCAACCATAGATCAACAATGGGTGCCTCCCAATCGTCGCACAAGGCGGGTGCGTCAGGAGGCACCGACGCCAACGCAGAGCCTGCCTTTGCCGACTACTACGAGCTCCTCCACGTCGAGCAGTCCGCCACCTCGGACGAGATTCGCAAGGCCTACCGCAAGCTCGCGCTCAAGCACCACCCGGACAAGAACCCAGACAATGTCGAACAGGCCAACAAAATCTTTCACAAGCTGCAGGAGGCCTACGAGATTCTCTCGGACGACACCGAGCGCGCGTGGTACGATCAGAACAGGGAGCGTCTGCTCAACGGCGATGGGCCGGACCTCGACGACGAAGAGGTCTTTGAGGCTTTCCGCTCAGGCGCTACCGAGGCGCCACAGCCCACGAGCTCCTCGCGTGGTCTCACTGCCAAGGCGCTCCTTCGCTTCTTCGACCCAAGCCTGGCCAAGGATCTGACCGACGGCGACAACGGCTTCTATTCCACCTATCGCCGTCTCTTCGAGCGTCTGGCCCAGGAGGAGCGCATCGCAGCGCCGTATCCGGGCGAAGAGAAGGAGGTCAACATCCCGTCGGCCGATGCCTACCCATCCTTCGGCTACAGCCACACGCCCTACACGCACGCAAGAGGCGAGGAGGCGGCAGTGCACCAGACGCCCGCCAAGGACTTCTACAGCGTGTTTATGAACTTTCAGTCGCGCAAGAGCTTCGGCTGGTTCGACAAGTACGACCTGCGCGATGCACCCGACCGTCGCGTCAAGCGTTTGATGGAGAAGGAGAACAAGCGCGCCCGCGACGCCGCCCGACGCGAGTACAACGACGCCGTCCGTTCGCTCGCCGCCTTTGTCCGCAAGCGTGATCCGCGCTACAAAAAGTTCCAGGCCGAGCTCAACTCCACCGGCCCAGGCTCGGCTGCCGACGTCGCCCGCAGGAAAGCAGAGGCCGAACGCATCAGGCTCGAGCGAGAGGCGCGCGCGCAGTCGTACCAGGCTCAGAGCTGGCAGCAGCCCGACTACCGATTCTCGGACGAAGAAGACGCAGAAACCGAAGACGACGACGAGGACGGTAGCGATACTTCCAGCAATGATGGTGTTGCGAGTGAGGGCGATGGATCCGGCAAGGCGATCGACGACTTTGACGATCCTTCCTTGTCGGGCGGCTGGGACTGCGTGGCGTGCGACAAGTTCTTCCAGTCCGAAGCTGCATTCCGCAACCACGAGCGCAGCGCCAAGCACAAAAAGGCCGTCCAGAAGCTCCAGCGCGAGATGCAGGACGAGGAAGACGAGCTGGGCCTCGGCCTCGATGCCGACGACATCGCCATCGACGCCTCCCTCGCCGACATGCACCTCAACGGCACCGAAAAGGTCTCGGCTGGCTTCTCCATACCCACCTTTGCATCCGAAGCCAGCGGCGGCAAGAGCAAGAAGCAGAAGAAGCAGGCCAAGAAAAAGCGACAGATGGAAGAGGCTGCGGGGCTCGTGCTCGATGAGGATGGCTTTGTCGTCCAGGATCTCAACCGCAAGCCTCGGCCCAAGAAGGAAGCCGCTCCTGCCGATCTTTCGGCGGACACGGCGGACAAAGCACGAAATGACGAGACATTACGATCGGTGCACGTGGTCGACGAGGAGCTGGCTGGAAATAGTGACCGGGCTGTCCACGCAGATGACCGTGTGGGCGCTGGCGACGAGGAGGGTGCCCCTGCGAAGCCGAGCGCCAAAGCAGATGCGAACGCCTCGTCTTCTGTTAATGGAACAGGATCTCCGTCCAAGGCAAAGAAGACCGACGCTGCTCACGACGACGACCCGTGGGGTGGTTTAGAAGACCCCTATATCCCCGAGTCGGCCTTCTCCTCCACGATCCCGCCTCCGCTTCCTGCGGGCTCGCGACCGCCAGGGTCGTTCGACATCTTTGGGTACGGCAGCCTCATCTTCAAGCCGCCGCCGTACGTGATTGGAGCTACGCCGTGCTACATCAAGGGGTTTGTGCGGCGGTTTGCGCAGCATTCCGTCGACCACCGCGGCACGCGCTCGCGGCCGGGACGCGTGGTGACGCTGGTCAAGGCGTCCGACTGGCACCCGCTGCGTCGAGCCGCCAAGGTGGACGAGCCCAAGTCGCCCGAGGGCGACATTGTGTGGGGCGTGTCGTTCACCATTGACCCCGAGCATGCCCCGGTGGTGCGGCAGTATCTCGACTACCGCGAGAAGAACGGCTACTCTGCCATGCACGTGCCGCTCTACACGCGCGATGCCGACGATGCGGAACGCGAAACCGTGGTGCTCAAGAACGCGCTTGTCTACGTCGGCTTGCCATCGAATCCGGCGTTCGTTGGGCCGCAGTCGTTGGATGTGCTTGCTCAGCGCATCTACACGTGCGCCGGTCCCTCGGGACCGAACCCTGAATACCTGCTTAACCTCGCCAAGGCTGTGAGGGAGCTGGCGCCGCAGTCGGTGGATCAGCATCTGTTCAGCCTCGAGAAACGGCTGCTGCTGCTGCAGGAGCAGAACATCGACCCGGCCGTGCTGATTGCACAGGAGTCGCGTGCAGCCAAAGACGCCACGTCCAAGCCTACCGCCAATGGCGCTGTCTCGACCGACGAAGACGAAGCTCCCAAGGGAGCCAAGAAGGGCAAGGGCAAGGGCAAGCCGACTGGCAAGAGCAAGGAGTGGTGCAACGTGTGCAGTGCCGGCTTCGAGAGCAGAAGCAAGCTCTTCAACCACATCCGCGAGACGGGCCATGCTCTCGCAGCCGATCAGCCAGGCGCAGGTGGCAAGAAGGGTCGCAGGAGGTAGTTCCACATAGACGGCGTTGCATAGATGCGCAGTTGCTCCAGATGTCGATATGCCGAGGTGTGGCGTGGGTCGAGTGCAAGGGAATAGTCTGGTGGAAGCATGCCAACAGGGTCCGCGGTGGAATTTTTTCTAGGCCGTGAGAAGAGCGGGGGGACCTGCAGATGAGGCGTTGCCACCAACCGCGATCTGCGTCGCCACGTGGCTCCGTCCAGCAGGGCGGCGGCTGCGATGCACCGATGCGAGGCACTGCCAACGGACGAGGCGTACCGTGGCGTCCATATGGTTCCTAGCCCGTAACAGTGGCTTTCGACACAGGATCTGCGTGGCGTTGCGTCGCAGTCAGAAACGTTAGTGCCCCTGCTTAGGGGGTGGAGCACATCGAGAAGCTCGTGCCGAGCGCACAAGGAGCTGGTGAGAGGGCAACTCGCTTCCACTGTGCTGCTCAGCAATGCCTCACGATGCTGGCATGCGCGTCACAAAGGTAAAAAGGGTTGCGTTCGAGGGGTCATCGAATGAGAAAAGTCACGCACTTGCTCACCACATCTCCAAATTCCCCCTCGATCTCGACCCGTATCTTTCTCGTTCTGGCCATGAAGCTCTACTCGATGGACAGCAAGAGGCGCATTGGCGCTCTCATGGTTTCGGTGCTGGTGCTGTGCATGGCTGCGCTCGCCGAACTCGCTTCTGCGCTGCGTGGCGAGGGCCCGACGCGGCTCGACCGGCGTCAAGCTCCGAACCAGATGGCAATCAGCTACCCGACGGCGCAGACGGGCTCGTTCAACATGACGACGTTCATCGTCCCGGTCCCTCTGGGCGATGCCTATTCGCTAGCTTCTCCGTACGATCTGATTCTCAACCACGGCCTTCCCGGGTCTGTCATCCCCACGGGCACCTTCCCACTCCAGATCGTCGTTGGGTACTTCTACGATATCCGGCAGCGGCTGGTGCTGGGTCTGCTGCCGCTGCAGGTGCAGCAGCTGTCGGTGGTCGAGGTGTACCTTCCCTTTATCAACGTGCTGGGCACGGGCATGCCGTTCCGACGCAGCGTGTCGACGTACATGGACCAGCTCATCCCCGCACTCGTCGGTGGACTCTCGCAGCTCCACGACACGCAGCTGGCGTACTTTGACCCCGCTCATGCCGTAAGTTGCCCTCCTTCCTCCAACATCGCATCGCATGGTTGGCATAGCTGATCCGGACTTTGCAACAGGCGTACAAGTCGGCAGGTGGATCCACACTCTCGTTCCAAGCCGCCTTGGGACTCGTGAACAATGTAAGCATGCCCCTAGGGACCTGTGGTGTGCTGGCTGGTACTAACTGGATGATGTGGATAGATTGATGGACCGGGTTTGGTGTCGCCTGTGGTGCAGGCGGTGTTTGAGCGCACGACGAGCGCGCCCATCTCGGCAGCCACATTCCGCGCGATGCTCGACCAGCCCTACTACACCACCGCCGGCACTGGATGCAACACGGCCACGCTCTACTACAACTACTCGAACGCCAACCCGAGCTTTGTGCGCGGCGACGTGCAGACGTACGCGCCCATCACCACGACCAGCACCGACTACCAGGATGCCGTTGGCTACACTGCTGCCACGTGAGTAGCCAAGCCTCTGCCTGCGCCGAAGCGTGTGACGATTCCAACTGACCATGGCATTTCTGCGGTTTCGACAGTCAGTGGGTGTCGCCTTCGACCCTGGCGGCGTGCAGCTCGTTTGCATGATGCGCAGCTGACGCGCTGGAATCCAGCCCCGGAAGCCTTGGCTCATGGACTTGCTGTAGCACCATCTGCACTTGACTCGATCACATTGAGAGGGAATGCCAAGATGCCGTCTCGGCTGTGATTTGGCATTTGCCAAGTGAGTGCAGTCGCGCGGGGTTCGTGTTTGAGCTGTCCCAGAGCTGTCAGTGATGTGGAGAAAGATGGCGTGGCCAAAAGAAAACAACGGCAAGCGCACAGTCCACCTCTGCGCATTCTTCCCACCGCCCCACCACATCCACACCTCACCGACACGATGTGCGCTCCACCGCCACAGCCATGACCGACACCTTACGAAGGCATTCCGCCGAAGTGTACCACGCGGGCTCGGCTCGGCTGTCTGCGTCGATCCGGCTGCGACCCGTGAGGGTGCGCTTCACCGAGCCGGGCGTGCGCGATCTTTCGCTGCTGCTGCACTCGCTCGTTTCGCTGCGTCTTGTCCCAAGCGACGGCCCTGCATCTCAGCATGCCGATGTGCTGTTCGACGCTGCAGACTCGCAGGCGGCTGTCGAGGAGCCGCACGCCGCGCCCGCCGCGGGCGAGGTCATTGCGCTGCTGGCCGAGACCGGGCTGACGGGCGACGAACGCGTGCGGGCGATCAAGGCGCACATGGAGGCCGTCCGCGACGGTGTGGCAGGCAGACGGCTACGACTGATCCATGCGGGGCGTATGCTGCGCGACGGTGTCGGCCTCGTGGGCTATCTCGACGAGCTCGATGCGCGAACCCGCGCCCAAACGCGGCAGGGACTTCGACACCTCGCGCTCGATAAACATGCTCGCCGTGCAACGGCACTCGATGCAGAGAGCAGCGCAGAGAGCAGCAACGACGAGCAGCAAGACGACGAGGAGGACGAGCGTGTTGAGAGGCGAGAGATGAGCGTACGCCAACTCGTCGATTGGCTCACCGAGCTGCAATCGCACCAACATTCCGTCGACAGCATGGATGCTGCATCAGCGAGTCGCTCGGGCAAGGGCAAGGGCAAAGCGCGTGAGCCGGTGTGGTACGACGAAGCTGTGCGCGTGGTGATCCGCACGGCTGCACCCGTCTACCTTCAATGCTCTGTCGGCGACGTCATCCCGCCCGCCTCCTCGCCACCTGCGCACATTGAGCCGTCGAACCCCTTTACCGACACCGACACCGAAGCAGGCGAGGAGCGACGCGGTTTCAATCGGCTTCTGGACGCGGGCCTTTCTGCGGAGGAAGTAGAAGCGATGCGCGCGCAGTTCCAACAGACGCAGCGCGTGGATGCGTACGACCTGATCCGCTCGCGCGAACACGCGGCGCACCTGCTCGAGCTCGAGGAATCCTGGATGGACAGCTTCGGCACTGCTGCGCCGGCCGAAGAAGCCTCGGCGTCCTACACGTCGGTGATGCACGGTCTGCTCGTCGGCTTCTTCCTCCCGCCCCTCATCCCGCTCTTCTGGTTCCGAGACCGCCCACACCCCAGCAGCATCCCCACCTCCATAGCGCCCGATCCAGACGACCTGGACGACGAACAGTCCGCCGCGGCCCAACACCACGCCCTCACGCGCGAAAACGTCTTCTCGACCACAATGCAGATCGCCATCCTGTGCGGCATCATCGCAAAGTAAGTACCCCCACCCATCTTGCCCATCCCATCCTCCTCGCCGCCAGTACTGACCCAATGGCCTTGCTTTTGGTGCGGGCAGCTTGATCATGGGCATGTTTCGATTCATCTGGTAGACGCATGCAATTTGTTCTTGGCTTCAAGCGTTGGTGGCAGCGTTGCCGTTGGCGCCGGCCGAGGACGAGATGAAGCTCATATCGCTGAAGAGCGACTCGCCCAGGAAGCCGTCGAGCATTCCAAAGTCCCAGTCGATCTCGACGCCCATCCCCGCCGCACTGCCCATGGCCTCGTTCAAGTCGGGAGCAAAGCCGTTACCCGCCCCATCCGCGGCGCCGTGCGGGGCGTGAAGATGCGCGGTATACTCGGGCGCCACGTCGCCCGATACCGGCGTGAACGACTCGAAGCCAGACGCGGCGTGATGCTGCTGTGCCGCGTTCAGGGTATGCTGGCCATGTGCGGGTGTCGAGCTCGAGACAAGCGCGGTCTGTACACCGCTGGGTCCCGCTTGGAACTGCATGAGCTGGCGCAGGAA